GTCTGTGGGTTCGGGGCGGGGTTTTTGATGGTGTTGAGACTCGGGCAGTCTCGGGGAATTCCCCTTCCGGGGTAGTGACGGAGGCATTTGAGCCTGTTCCTCCAGCCGTGTTGTATGAGTCTGCCAGTGGGCTCCCTTCCTTAGTGTTTTCACGGCTGCCCCGGTTTTTTGGTACGGCCGGGGCTTTGGGGGAACGGCTCGGCCCCGGGGCCTGTCGTGTAGGTTCCCGGGGCTGGGGAGGGGCTGACTTGGGGGGCCTTGGCCCCGTTGGACCCCGTGGGGGGTTTTTATCCCTCTCTAGGCGGGGCTTGTGGTTACGCGGAGTGGGGTCTTTCCTCCCCACTCGCCGTACGTGCTGTTGGGTGTCGGCCCCTCCCCGGGCTCGGTTCCTTGGCCTTTGAGTCGGTTGGTTCTGTCCTGTGGGTGGATGTTTCCTCCCACCCCTTTTTGGGACGGTGTTTTCGTCATGTTTCCCCGTTCGATGGGGTTCTGCGTGACTTCTGATCTTGGGTGCGCCTGCACCTTCGTGTGCCTTCGGGACTAGTGTTGGCTTCTGTGTTCTCGAGGGTGCGGGAAGGTTTTTCGCTACTTCCCGCATTATTGGAACGTCTGTCGGCTCCTCGTACTTGTCGCCCTGTTGGGCTACTTGTCGCCCTGTTGGGCTACTTGTCGCCCGGTTGGGCTACTTGTCGCCCGGTTGGGCTACTTGTCGCCCGGTTGGGCTACTTGTCGCCCGGTTGGGCTACTTGTTGCCCGGTTGGGCTACTTGTCGACCGGTTGGGTTCCTTTTTGGGCTCTTTGCTTCTTTGGCCGGTTTTATTGTTCCTGCTTCCTCTTTTTGGCTACTTTTCTCGTGCAGTAGTCCTGGCTGGCGCCTTCCCGCCAAGAGGGTGTGCGGTTCAGCCAGCGTGTTATGCGTATGCGCCGTGGAGTTTGTTTTGGTCTGGGCGGTGTTTCAGTGCTGGTGTTTTGCGCCCTTTTTGCTACAGTGCTTCGCCTCTCGTTCTTCTCCCTGGCTGCGGTATGTGCCCCTTCGCGCCGGGGGTGTCCTGGTTCCCAGTTGTGGGGAGGACACCGCGGTTTTCCCTGTGTCATGGGTGTGGACCGCCTCCTTCGCCTCTCCCTGCTCTCCTGCGGGTCCGGCAGGGTCCGGCTCTGGCGTTTTCACCTGGCGGTGCTCCCTGGTTCTTCTGGGCACGGTTGAGTCGTGTCAAGTTCGTGCCACCGTTCGCCAGGCGAGTTCTGCGGTCTGGCGTCTTTTGGCCGGGCGCTGGATGCGGAGTTGTTTATATACCTGTCTTTATTTAGGTATTTTTGTACGACTGAGACCGTTCGCACACCAGTGACTGTCCCTTTTTCAACCCTTCCTGTTCCCCTCATGTGCATGTCCAACCCATGCTGGAGTCATTCAGGGGACCCTCCTTTTTAATGTTGTGAGGTGTGGGGGTTGTAGGGTTGGTTCTGTACTCACCTGGTAAGGCTCCTGGCTGTGCTTGCAGGATTTGAGCTCTGGCTCTTGGGTCCCGCCTATCTGGTAGAACTTGCGGGATAGTACCAGTGGAGTGCAGTGGTGCTATTGGCACATTTGGGAACACTGTATTACCATCAGAGGTCTGTGCTTGTTACACGACCTACTTGCGAGCATAAGCCTTCTTGCTGGTTCGTCCGTGGACTTCCAGGGCGCACTAGCCTGTTTTCATATGGCAGTTCCGGCCTGTCCTGGTTGTGGGGGTATGTGGGCCGGTGGACTGCTCCTAGCAGCTGCCTGGTGGGCCACCCTCTGGCCGGTCTAGCCTGGCCTTGGGCCGGGCTTGAGGTGTAAAAGAGCTCCCAGTACCTCATCCAGCAGGTATCAAGCGGGGTTTCTCCGCCGTCGATCGCCTGGTGCAGGTTTCTGGGCCTGCGGGGTTTTGTCGTGTCTCCGTTGGCCCTGTCTGGGGTCTGCCTGCTCCGTTCTCTGCCTTTGCAGAAGGGAGTTGCTATTTACATGTTGCATGTTGCAGTGGTGCCTGTTGCTGCTGCTGCACGTGTGCATTGGTACTGTGTTTCACGGTGGCGTGTCCTTGTTCCTGTGTCCAGTTGTGGAGTGGCACTTTGCTGCCGTTTTGTGCCTGGGGATTGCATGGGGGTTTTTCTGTCCCTGCCTGATTGTCCACCCCTGGTTGTTATCCTGGGGTTTTAGTACTTCTGCTCTTTCTTCCTGCCTCCTCTGCAGCAGGGGTGTTCTGCGTGTGTTCTTAGGCGTTTGTCAGCCTGTGTCCTGTGATGTACTTCCTTGTCTCGGTCTATTGCAATTGTTCGTACCCCTTGGTTCGGGTACTGTTCTGGCGGCGACCCTTCCACCTTCTTTGGTTTCCTAGCTTGCCCTGCCGTTTGGTTTTTTGGAGGTCTTGCGATGTCTCGCGTCGGACCCGTCGTTTCTGAACTCCTGGCGGGCTTGCATGCTTTGGGGAGTTTTTCTGTTCGGCAGACGTTCCATCTCCTTGTGCCGCCTGGGTTTCGGTGGTCGCGCCCAAGATCTTCCCGCGGCTCCGCCTTTTCCTGGGCTCGAAGGGGCCTTGTCGGGGCTGCTTATGTTCTGCCTCGTGGTCTCGCCTCTGGTTGGTAGTCGGGTGGCTTCGTGGTAGGTGTCCCACCTGCGTGCTTCTCTTGGCGGCTGTATGGGGTATTTTGGCGGTCCTTCCTTTTCCTGTCTCTTCTTAGGTGGTTACTCTTGTTAGCTTGGTTTACTCTCGGCTTGGTTTTCTGGTGGGGGTTGGGGGCCGTCGTCTTGCCACATACTGTCGCCTCTTTTCGTGCGGCGCGGGCGGAGCCGCTTCAGCTTGCTTTCGGTCTTGGTGTTGCTTCTGCACTGTTAGTCAGCTGTCTTGTGCGTCGTTTCACCTCCGGCCTGTTCGTGCGCTGCTTGCACCACCCTGGTCTCTGGTCAGCGTGCTCTTGTCTTCTCCTCGGTTGGTAGTGCCCCTTCGGTTCCGGTGTTTTTTCGTCGGCTCTTTCCTTTTGGCCTTTGCCTCTTGGGGTTGAGTCGCTGAGTTTTCTTGCTCCTTCGGTTTTAGCGTTTTGGTTGTTCGGTGGCAGCAGTCTCCATCTTTTCTGGCGCGGGGTGGGGCTGCTGCGTTCTGGAGGGGTCCAGGGTTTGTTGGTGCTTCGTTGGTCGGGCCGGGGGTGTGTCGTTTTTTGTGTTCAGTGGCGGCCCTCCGCTGTTGTTTGCGTGCCACGGTGTTTGGGTCCGGAGCGCGTTTTGCGTTGATCCGGTTCTGTTCTTCCCGGTTCGCGGGTGATAGTGTCCCGGGTGGTCAGCCGTGTTCTTGCGGCTAAGCTGCCTGTGTTCTTCCCTCATGCCTATGGCATTCGTGGTTTCGCTGCTCTCGCTGCCGTCTGGGTGACGTGGCCTTGCGGTCTTTCGGGCATGGATTTTTGGTGTTCGTGCAGGGGCCTTGCTGCTCGTTGTTCTCGTGTTGTTCCCGGGACTTTTCGGGGCTGTGGCGCCTTGGGTTGGCGTTTGCTGCCGGTTGTCTCGCCTCCTTGGGGGGGTGCGTGGTGTCCGCCTCCCGGTTCTGTCCCTTTGACCTTCCTCTGTGGGTAGTTAGCTCAGGGGAACCGACGGGGCTCCCCCCAGAAAACCAGCGTTGAATGTAATGAAAGTCATTTTCTGGGTGAGACCCGGAGGCTCCCCGGCAACCCTCCCTCCCTCTGGTCACCGGTTTTTCGTGTGTTTTGCCATCCAGCCTCAGAACTGATGGGTGGATAGCCGGCGTGGGAGGTCTGGGGCTCCCCCTTCCCCCTCCCGGGGAGGGGGGAGCTGCGCAGACAGCGGCGCGGTGACGTATGACTTCATACTAGTTTCCTTGTTTTCTGTTGAAGAGTTCTATCCACTAGTTTGGCTTTAGGTAGCAATTTTCACCAGAATAGGGGTTTGTTTTGGAATGCTTACCTTTCTGGATGCTTGACCCGGTCGATGGCAGACATAGAATGCTTCCAACCACACGGGGGTTTCTATAGGCCATTGCTCCCCTTGCCTCTCTGAGGGGGCCAGGTTCTGGCCGTGGTCCCCGGTAGGCCCTAGAACTCCATACACATGACTGATGCCAAAGTCTGACATTAGCATATAAGCCGGTTAAGCTCCGGGGAGCCTCCGGGTCTCGCCCAGAAAATGGCGTTTCATTATATTCAACGCTGGTTTTTTGACAAGTTATACATCTCCATTTATCACAGCAAAATTGATAAGCATTCAATATTTATCACACGCATATGCTATATTTTAGTTCATTAACCTCTTTTGTACAAGGTTGCCATTCACCATGTATGTTTATGAATACTTTACAGAATCCTTATATTTAAAGTATGTACTATATTAGTAATACAGTAAAAAACTATTTCATAATACAGTACTACTATTAATCTTTCAATCTACACCCATTGTCATTTATTCTGGGGATGATGATACCACCCACTGTGTAAATATTTAGTCTTTCCCCATCTTACCATTCAGACAAATCATCCATTACTATTATTCTGTAACTCCTAGATACAATATCACGAGGATTTTATACTCTAAACACACAAAAAGATCAATTCTCAATTCTGACATTACATAGTGCATATACACCATTTTCTCTTTCAGACTTAAATTTTGCAAATTAACATGAACAGCCACAATAAGTAAAGTTATTCATTACTCCATAACACTATATTCATTAACATTACTTTAATTCTTAATTCATTAATTAACTCTTACTTTATTAATAGGACTAGAGTACTACTTCACTCATTTTCTTTTGCTCCAGCTCTTTGAAATTTTTTTCGTTTCCCCGATTAAAATACTAATACAGTATCATTGAAAAGTGTAAATATACAAATGCCAATTAATGAAAAAGTTTTCACAGAATGACTAACAGAGCACATACCAGATACTTTTTATGATAAAAGAAAGACATTCCATTTTAAAAGAAATTACATTCTGTTGCATACCAGTTTGCACCAGTCTGTACTTTGCATACCTCTTCAGAAATATCTAGAAGACCACTATCACTTCTCGAGGATAATCTATTTTGTTCATTACTAGAATTTGGTGATAACTGATGTAATGTGTTTTGTGAAAAGTGATCAGATACTGCAGGTGAATCAGCAGGCGAAGTATAGCTCACAAGAGGATTTGCTGACGACTCCATTTTCGTACTTGAAGAAATGCCTAATGCTCTGAAATAAAATGCATGGAGTTTAAAAGCACTTCTAGTGTGTTAACCATACAACCCGTTCTCTTACAAATTATGTTGCTTTTCACTCGTATGCACACTAAGGCCAAAAATGGTCGTAATATAAAATGAAATCAACTCACGAAATTGACGTATTGTCCCATTTTCTGTTTTGGGTCCTCCAGCTTACTCGGTTAGGTTAGGAGAGGACACTTTAAATTACCGGTTTTCATGTTTTGAAATGGAAATTTCCTGCCCTCCTAACCTACCAGAGGACACAAAACTTGCTGTTTTGGGTCCATTTCATTTGGAAAATTAATTTTCATTTTTTTTTAATTAAAATACGGCCATTTTTGGCCATAATGCATTCAAGTGAAAAGAGACGTATTTTGTAAGAAGATGGGTTGGTCCATAACCTGTTAGGAATCAGAATTTGACAATTTGCAAATATATTTATTGTGTGAAAAACATAAGCATAATATCTACTAAGCAATACAGTACTAGAGATTCTTGGTAAGGTGTTAAATGGGTAGGGAACCCATGGATTTCATTTTATATACTGCATTATACAGCAACATTCGTGTCACAAAATAAATACAATACAGTAATAGCATTCAGAACGAGATCCTTTCTCCGTTTAAAGGGCATTCCAAATGAAATCATGTTTCCTAAGGTGTAAGGTTTGTAGTGTCTCAATATCCGTGGTGTAGTGGTAAGACACTTGCCTGGCGTTCCGCGAGCGCTTTGTCCAGGGTTCATATCCTGGCTGGGGAAGATTTACTGGGAGCAAATCCTTAACTGTAGTCTCTGTTTAACTCAACAGTAAAATGGGTACTTGGTTTTAAAACGATTCATCGTGGGGGTCGTATTACAAGGTCTATAGGATTAAAAACTTGCCCAAAATGCTACGCGTACTAATGGCTGTACAAGAATGTAAGAACTCTTGTATATATCTCAAAAAAAAAAAGTGTAATTTATTAGTGGGGGTATGGGGTTGATGAGGTATGGTTGGGGGAGGGTGTAGTGGGGTTCTATGGAGTGGTGTAGTTATGGGTTGGTAGGGAAGGTCAGGTATATATTAGTGGGGTGTGTGGGGTAGGCCTAGAAAATGTTGTAAGTGTGGTTTGAGTTGGCCTGGATGGGTGGGTACAGTATTTTGTGTAATTACTATGCTAGTAAAGTTCTTAAGTGTAATTAATTGTGTAGTTACAGGGGAATGAGTGAGAGTGACTACACTCATGGTGTCTCTTATCAGTAATCTATCATAACATTCATTTAACACAACCTAGTGCTTCTATGTCTACTGAATTATGTTACCCGGAAATTGGTTTCATAAATTATAACCTATTTCCAAACCCGTACAGTATTTGCATAGGGTTTTCTCGAATCTAAACTTACTACAAGCTCCCATATGAATACAACCAGTTGCATGTTGTAGTGACCTACCATCCATCTAACCTGCCATCTATTTATGCATCCCATCTTCACCAGCACCATACCCACCTCTTCTCCATACATCCACCCAACACATCTCTGCCCCGTTTCTCACCCACTTCTGCCACCACCTGTAAAGTGCCCTGCACAAAAGGATATAATAAGGGGGATATTAACACCTTTTCATCTTGCCTGATATGTTAGATTAACCCTTAAACAGCACAAATCATACATATATGATTTGAGTAACTATCACAAAACGGTGCAAATCATATATATATATGATTTGCATATTTAAAAGTTAAAATAGTCCTGCACATATATAGAGCTCACATCTGCTTCCTCAGACCACCAGCAACCATCCTCCATCTTGAAAAAAAATCCCGAGTCCCTCACTTTCCTTCTAGGGCCTTTGTAAGAAAATGATGACCATTGCTTGGCAACATCACCATCGAGTATCTGAATGTTTAGGGCAGCCATAGAGGAGGCACTAAACTTTTAGCAACAGCAAATGAGTGATTACTATGTATATATTTGAGGCAAAATGTGTGCTATATGCAATTTTAAGATTTAGGCTTAAAATATATTTATACATGTATTATTATGAATAAGTATGTGGGTGTCTTTATATCTTTACTTGTATATCCATACATACTTATATTTTCAAAGTTTTACATAATAGACAGTAACTTTGACACACAAATACAACCTGTTAGCTTGAAAAGACTAAATTAATAAATTGAGAAACAATGAAAATAAATCAACAAAGTTATTCCTATGCGGCACCTCAACTAAAAATATGCAACTTTTCCAAGCAACTACAGCTAAACACAAGAGCTAGAGTTTTTATTTGGATTTTTGTGCTTCCTGAAGGCTATTTAACAATGTCATAAGAAAAATAATTTTTTCAGAACAATTTTTTCCTTGAGCACCCTGGGGATGTTTGCTATTTATAGTTAGTGGTTTAAGGGTTAAGGACCTGCCCGAAATGCTATGCGTGTTAGTGGCTTTGCAAGAATGTACAAATATCAATCTTATGTAATCTCACCAACCCATTGCACCTTCTTGTGAATAAAATTATTATTATAATAACAGGGTGCTAAATATACAGTATACTTTGTAACACCGTAAGGTGTTTGGTTTAGGTGTATTTAATACATACATAGAGTACATGAGTCAGAGACAAGAATTTGAGAAGGCGCCAGCTTGTCGGCCTGGATCTCACACCTCTAAGCGTTAATGACCTCAAGTTGACCTGAGGTCAGCCATGAGAATTTCACCTTGCCTCTGCTAATCTGATAATTGGCCTTCAAACATGCCGACGTTTAAGGAGTGGCTTGGGAGAGAGCCGGAGGCTATCTACTTGTGGGCGGAGTTAGCTACTAGGTTTCCCAATATATACTCGGAGAGCTATCGATTCAAGAGCATTAACAGATAGACCAGGCAGTAGAGCAGAGGAGGACAACAGCCTCATAGCGGTTGTTCAACGTCCTCCCAGCAAGCATAAGAAATATTGCCGGAACAACCGTGGACATTTTCAAGAGGAAACTAGATTTATTCCTCCAAGGAGTGCCGGACCAACCGGGCTGTGGTGGGTATGTGGGCCTGCGGGCCGCTCCAAGCAACAGCCTGGTGGACCAAACTCTCACAAGTCGAGCCTGGCCTCGGGCCGGGCTTGGGGAGTAGAAGAACTCCCAGAACCCCATCAACCAGGTATCAACCAGCCGAGACAGGCTGTCGGTCGGACGGGGGTGACGCTGCCTGACAGCTGCAGACTCCCCCCCCCCTCTATCCAGCTAAAGGCAGACACTTAGTGAGTTGAACATTAAGGTGACTTGGTCGTGTTTACATATGTTGTGTGATGATCAGGGGCAGTCAGTTGTAGGGTTCTCAAATTCTTGGATGATGACTCACTTTGCATATTTCTTGAACATTTGAATTGCTTAAAGTATGATACTTCATATGAAATATAATTATGAATTTATTATTTTAAATTGTTTTTAACTTTGTTCCCAAGAGCTTTGAGTTGAGGTGAGAAAGCCTCTGTGATTACTGGTTTCATGATATTAATGAGTACATGTTTGGAGTTGATGCATGGTAATAACATCTTTTGAGAATATTGTAATACAGACAAGTTCCATTCCTTGTCTTGTATGTAATGATCATGAATGGATGGTGGCAGCATTTCCTATTTCTACTTCTACTATCTACTTTTCTACTTTACCTATTTACACTTCTCCCTCTCCAAACTCTCACTTTCAGCTAATGACCCTCCTCGCTCCTCCCACCTCTCTACCTCTCTCACCCCAAACCTTCACTAATTACTTCACTATTCATTTCTTCCCTTTCTTTTCTCTTATGCGGTTGTGGCAGTGAAATGTATTCTAGAGTTCTCTCTAGGATTTCGGGTAGCTGATCAAGTTACGGCAATTGTAGTCGCCGCACCTAGGTAGTCGAATACCTAGGTTACAAGGTGTTGAACGAGAGAGGTTGCCGTAGGAACTCTGGGAGTGCTCTAGAATAGTTAGCTAACTGGGGACAGGATAACGGACTGGAGAGAGCTGTTTCCCCCGGCCTCGTTAGTTAACTGGGGGGTGGAATAATGGACAAGATAGAGCTATTTCCCCCACCCCCGTTACAACTTTTATTTATTTATTTATTTATTTTATTTATTTATATATACCAGAGTTCTTACATTCTTGTACAGCCACTAGCACGCATAGCGTTTCGGGCAAGTCCTTAATCCCATGTTCCCTGGAATACAACCTGCCAAATCGTTTAACAACCGGGTACCGATTTTGCTGTTGGGTAAACAGAAACTACAGTTTAGGATTGACACCCAGCAAATCCTCCCAGGAGAGTATCTTACCAACTACACCACAGGAACTGTGGTGTACTGATACAAAAGAGAACATAAAGCAATTGATAAAAATTAGATAAGCTCTTCCTGGTTGTTTTGCACATTATGGGATTATTCTTTACTTCATTTTTTTCCTCTCATTCAAACATTGAGCTATTGCACTATGCTGATTCTGAGGATCCCATATCTTTATTCCTCATTACTTGTTGGTCAAGTCCTCTATCATAAGTACTGTACTGTATATGTATAGTATCACACCACCTGATCTTGCTGTTCTGTTCTTTCTGAAATGTGGGTGGTACTGTAAAAGTGGAAATTCTCTTTCCAATTATATCCTCATCCCCATGTTAAGCTGATCCCAGTGACATCTGGATTCTCAACTTCAGTACTGTATATGCACACAATGTCAAATTTATTTACTAGGCTTTTGGTATTTGTGTAGAAGTAATTGGAACTCCTGACATTATTTTTTGGATGCATGGATTACTCCTGCATTCTCTACACTCTTATCCTGTCTATTGTCCCCATAATTTTTGTGCCTGCTTGTTGGTAATGTGTAAGATAGATATCCCAACTAAAAATACAAATATTAAATAATAATAATATTATTATTATTATTATTATTATAATTAAGTACAGACAGGTTCATTCTCGACTCTCAATCAAAAATTCGAGCAGGACTGAAATGGTTGGGTGTATTCCCTATCACCTAATGCCCCTGGTCACCTGACAGTAAGTAGATACCCAGGTGTTAGTCAGCTTGTTGTGGGGTTGCATCCTGGGGAGGGTCAAGTAATTCGACCTTGGCAGGGGATCCCTCAATATAAGCCTAATATGTATATATATATACGCTGGTTGCCTGTCCCCGATACAATGCGTTATATGATCCGAAACAATATGATAGATTTTGTATGCAACTGTGAACGGAAGTGTGTTAAAATTTCTAAATAAAAGTACAGTATGGGGTATTTTATCTACTTCTATTATGTTATACGATAATTGGTTACACAAATCAACAACTCTGTTACCATACTAGTATTTACCCAGGTCTTTCCTAAATCTAAAATTATCCAATTTATACCCATTGTTACTTTTAATAATCTATTAATATCCCCTTTGTTATACCCATTCATCCACTTGCACACCTCTATCATGTCACACCTAATTCTTCGCCTTATTTTATAAAGCCTACCTGCATTAATTAGATACAGAAATGGAATTGGACCCGGCATTTATCTAACTAAATTTCCTCTCCTGATGACTGTACGATTGCAGCAGCATCATTAGGCGTACGAACTAGGTGTTAGCTATGCTAATTATAAGCAATTGGTGTAAATTATACTATACTTGGTTTTAAGTTATGTTGGTCATGACCAAAGAGCAGGTTATGCTTCCAATCAACACTGTAGGTCTGTGAATGATGCCGACAGCAATGGCGCAGAGCAGTGGATGATGTGCGCATTAAGCACTCTTGGGTCTGGCCAATAACTAGTTGGGTGACCACGCGAACAGCTTTGACCTTGGCATGGAGACGCGGTAAGTCTAACAAGTTTCTTGTCCTGAAAACGATAACAATCTAGCAGTCGTCGTCTTGGTGATCGTTAAGCATATTGCCGATAACAGAATGTTATGATTGCGGCAAGAGCTCCGTTGTGTTCCTACGTCAACGATTCAGTTTTCTTTAGCTCACAACTGTTGGGTAACTTTAATATTTATAGCGGTAATAGACTTAAGTGTATAGTACATGTAAAATAAATGACTGGAACTTTGTGGATCTTTGTGACAGTGCAATTAACATACAAGTGCAATTTGGTAAATTGAAAACACTATCCACAGTGGTTATCTGGAGTAACGTCGGAATCTTTGATAAGCCGCCAGCTTCCTGTCCCTATCAACGTCATTAGAAAAATGGTAGCCTTCAGGCCCATAATCGTCGTCGCCCCTAAATCAACACAACAAGGTTGCTGCTCAAATCTTTAAACTATAGAAAGCAATACCAGTGAGATCTATTACCATATAATAAACTCATGGGGAAAAAATTAAGACATATATATATATATATACAAGAAACGTCACATTATTTACACTTTGTACATAATGTGACCAGACAATTTGCAAAAAGGATAAAGTATCCTGAATTGTAATCAATACAATCAACATTTTGAGGGTAAATTTAGGCACATCTAAAAGTAAGGGAAAGATGGGAGTCAGAGGGATCGAGTTGGTAGAGAACTACTGTAATTCGTGTGGAGCAGCAGGACCACAGTAAACGGAACTATGCGGTAGAGGCACTAAAATCTCATCAATTGTGTACGAGAACATGGTGAAACATCAGGTATAGCACATAATTACACTGGGGGTAGCACACACTACTAGGGGGGGGGAGGCTGATAGCTGAGTGGACAGCGCTTCGGACTTGTAATCCTAGGGTCCGGGTTCGATCCCCATTGATGGCAGAAACAAGTAGGCAGTGTGTCTTTCACCCTGATGCCCCTGTTATCTAGCAGCAAATAGGTACCTGGGAGATAGAAAGCTGTTACGGGCTGCTTCCTGGGAGGAGGGGGGCTGAGAGACAAAAAAGTTGAGAGGTGGGCCAAAAGTGCAGAGCTAAACCCCCCATAAGCACAACTAGGAGAATACACTGATTCAGGAATCTCTACACCAGGTGATTGACAGTTGCAAGGCAGTACCAAAGAACTGAAGTTAAAACCCCCCACAAGCACAACTAGGTGAATACACCTCCATTTGTTTTCCTCCCAATGCTGCCTGACAAATGTGATTTGTAATAAAACGAATGTAGTCAGATCATTCAAGTTTTTCATAGGGGGGTCACAGCACATGAATGTGGGTGGATCTATGCTACACAAGAAGTCACTATTGTTATGAGAGGGGTAGAAAGAGGTGGCAGTTAGGCACTTAGAGAATTGGCAAACTGTTTAGTATCAAGTTGGACCAAGGTATATGGGTGAAGCAGAGAATAAAGGGCACCAAGTTAATCAGCATCATATGAACTCATTAAAAATATGTAATGGTAGGGAGATGCAACATTTCTTTGCATCCAGGTAGGATGCATCTCTTAGAATTTCAAACAATGACGTGCCCACAGGATTTTGAGTAGGCTGGATGATAGGCACCACAGTTCAAACAGTGATTCGACCAAGCTTGGTAGTCTGGTCTGGTATGACCTGACTTATACACGTGGGAGAGAAACGAGACCAAACATTGATGCATCACGACAACACATGTACTACTAGCAGGAAGAGCACCGATGCAGGGAGGGAGACGATTCCTGAACAAAAAAGGTAATACAGTACCTCCTAATCACAAATGATTGAAAAAAATATCAATAAAAAATGTGAGCACAGTAGTTCTGCTAGATTAAGGTTGCAAACCCCCTCTTACTAAGTATGTTATGTATAATATAATCCAGGTCAAGCATGAAAATTAAGTCAAGCCTCTACCTTTTGACCAGAAGAGAGGCTTCATGAACCACTCGACTGCCTTTCCTCCAATGTGGCAGTACAGTACTCATGGGGAAGGGGATAATAAATTTATTCGAAGACATTATTTAATTACTGTTATTTTAATAATAATATAACTATTAAGGTATAATGTGGGTACAAAAACTTTTGAATTACTATTGTACTGTATATTGGCAACCTTCTGGTACATTGACAAAAAGATCTGAAGACAGAATGTAGCCAAGCTCTAATCAGACTAATGGATTTTCCTCCCAAAGTATAATAGTTCATTAACATTAAAAATATGTAAATTCAAAAGCCTTTAAAGCAAATTTCCACCAAGACTACATTTCATATTTAAGATCAGCCATGTAACAAAGATCTTTCTGAAATATAAGTGTCATGTGGTAAAATTAATTCTAAAGTTGTAATTTTCCTTCATATAAAATATATGTATATTTAAATAAATGGCTTGTATGGTTTATATCATGCATGGAATGTACTTAAACTAATGGAATGTAGATTTCATTATAGTTTGCCCAGAGATTCATGAACTTTATTCTCCTATATATTTTGTGCCTAATCAGTCCCTCAATATTGTACATATGTTGCTAGATATTATTATTTTTAATACACAGTTGAACAATTTTTAAGCTAAAATATCCTGGATTAAGCAGCACAATTTTTTCTGAGTAATCTCTAATAAATATATTTTAGTATGAAATTGCTTTTTGTGCAATGGTTGATATAAATTAATCATAAAAATTACCATATACTTCACAACATATATTGCATATAAAAATGTGCTAAATGTTAACAATCTATATAATTCATAACAAATCCCTGCCCCACATTAAATATAAACTAATCACAACCAATAAACTACAATTCATCTCTTACACCATCACAAATCCTTGTTAATTTCCTACAGAATTGATCCTGAGATTCCTCTAAACCTAATTCCGAGTTTTCTTTAAAATATAAAATTACTTCATCTTCAAAATCTTCGACAATTGATTCACAATGAAATTGTAGCCCTTTATTGAGATCTGGATCTTGTACCATCTCATATTCACCAAAACGTGGATTCATAGCGCCATTAACAATTAGCTTCATTGCCTCTAGCTTGCCAGTTTCCTTGTGACGTGCTTGAGCATAATCCTTCATGCTTCCACACACAGTCTCCATCAACTCCATCATGTGCAACTGAAAAGCAATTTTTATAAATGCAGAAGATCCATCTAGCTGAAGCCTCAATTGCCCTTATATTATAAATTTATATTTATTAACTATTTCACTGCCTAAGCCCTACTTCACCATTAGGAGATATTAAATGCAACCTCCCCAAATTAAAGTTTGAATTAGGGAGAATTAAGATTTGGGTATATTTGTCCCTTTGCTGGTTATTTATCACCACTAACAGGACTTTTATAGTAGGAAATGCTACAACATCTTTACACACAAAAAAAAAATGTTTTAATCCCTGTCTTGTCACCAATTATGTCCTCCCCAGATGCTCCACCAATTACTCCTCATTCATTTTATCCAATATTTTATATGGAATACACATTAAAGTGACACGAGTCTGCTTCTGTCACATAAATCATTTCTTTATACTTCCTTCTCAGCAACTATGCTGAGGAGCATTGTCCTACCGTCATCTGCCCATTTGGCCTTCACTTTGGATGAGTTTTGCAATCCTTGAGGAATCTATTATTGAACTCCTAACACATCAGGTTTCTTTTGGGGACTTTCCTTATTTCTTTATCCTGTTTATGCAATCTTGTTTTCTTCCACATGTAGGTATGAAACAGCATTGTCTGTTGCTTAAGCCGTTCCCCTATCATGTACTGTACTATGTTCTGGCTCTCTCCAGCTTTTCCTGTTGACTTTCAAGCCTAGTTCTCTCTACACTCCCTGCCTTTCTGGTCCTATTCTTTAGTTCCCTGCACTCTCTCATATAAACAGTGCAACACAGTACAGTACAGATACTCTAATATTTAAGTGATTAGGATAAAACAAAGATATAGCAAAAATTGAGCCTTAAAAAGTTTTGAGGAATTTGGATAAAAGAGCCTTAACCCCTGCACTGCACACCTGTTTTGGGCAAAAATTTCATGGTGCAGTTGTTAAGGACATATTTTTGTTGTTTTTATAAATGTTCAGCTAATGATAATGTCAAAATGTTTCCAAACTCAATCATTTAATTTTCAAATCACAAAGAGCGATGAAAACATTAAAAAACCTTAAAATATGGTCTAAAAACAAAATCACACAACCCTCAGAGCACCTTAAGGTGCTTTGCACAGTGCAGTGGTTAAAAAACCCTAGAGAACAGGTATGATATACAGCTAAGCTCAATTACTGAGGCGAGGAGACCCGAGCTATAAGGAAAGAAAACCCGGATCCTGCCGCACTGGCAAGGCAGAATAGAGGTGTAATCTTCCTTCCCAAACCCCCATAGACACATACTTTCCTTCCAACTCTCACACACCCCAACCCCATACAATTGAACTATCTGCACGAGTGTTCACAATAAGCATTACATATCCTGTTATCCTTACCTCAGAGCCAGCATATTTCACAGATGATAACTTCTGTTTCCCATCAGCATCAATACGATAAGAGCCAACATCAATTTTTTTCCTTGGATCAACCTAAGTATGAAATAAAATATCATTAAAGTACAGTACTGTACAGCACAGCACCTCAGTATAACAATTTTCTAATAATCATGGTCTAGCACCATTTTTTTAAACAAATATATATATAGTACTAAGGGGTACCACCACTGGTGCAATTGTAGGGACCCATAGCCTCAACGAAGAAAATAGAGTACAGTATTCAGAAAAGACCTTGTGGATTCTCACCGAACACTTTAATATTTTCTCCTACCACCCCTATTCTTTCACAGTACATGTATACAGCTGTATATATAAACAAAAATTTAATATAATTACCACATCCATCATTTCAACTTTCATTGTGCACTGATGTCTTATTATACCTTCTTGTAGAAATAAATACCAATTGTTGAAAACCTATATAAAACCTATAGCATTCAGTATATAAGGTGAACTGGGTGTATACCCTCTCAACAGACACATACAAACATATTCATTACCCCATTTCCCACTTTCATGGGATAGAAATCCAGCAGACTGGTGAAAAAACTGTGAATGACAGTTAACTTGCTTCAAGGAACAGTACTCCTCCTGAAACTGTTGTAGCAAAAAAGTACTGTACTAAACTTTTTACATATATTTGGAAAAGGTTAAGACAAAAAGAAGGGGACCCATCATAAGCTATGGTCCCATAAGGGGCACTTGAGATTGGGGATTTTCAAATAAATTCTGGAATAGAACTACAAAACCCATTATCACCTTACAAATCTTATACTGTGCACACACCTGTACCCTGTTTTTTCATAGTTCATTCAAAACTGTACTGACCAAGATTCAAGTAGCAACTCATCCATGAACATTTTGTGTCATCGGTTACAATTAATAAATCGTATAAGGAACATTAGGCATACTGTCTTTTAACAAATTAAGTTCTTCCTTACCTCACTGATGGCTGCATGTAGTTCATTAACTAAACTGCGACACACTGCACACTTTACCACCTGTCAATAACATTAATTTTGAATACAACAAATACAGTAACTAAATTAGGGTCGAAAGATTTGAAAAATAAAACATTCTGAAAACCAATGTGGCAATATAATTACCAAATGTCAGTGAATGATGCATACAATAACTCTCGTCTGCAAAATATATTGTGCATTATTAATTGTTAATTCAGTTTTTTCATATATGAAAAAATGTCAATTTAAAAATTATTACTAATACAATTAGTGATGGTGAATTTCCAATCAAGTCCTTCATCATGCAATGCGCACCCATGGGAGAGATAGATGGCTAGAAATACAAACAACAAATTGTATGCCATTAAATAATAACTAGGTATCATTCAGAATGTCAAAATGAGAACATAAGTTAAAGGTATTAGCATTATCAAAGGATTTTATCAAGGGGGGCAAGTGACTCAAATGTACTTGGGAAAGAGAAATTTCCAATCATTTTGAAAATCTGGGAATTCTATGAGGAAGTGAATGGCCCTTAGCAGGACGATACAGTTTTGACAATGGAGGAAAGACCTGTCTTTCTAAGTGACCATGAGGTTATGGCCAATACTTAACCTAGCCAAAGACATTTCCCATTTTTTTACTGTGGTAGGATTACATAAAGTTGCACATGTTTGATGTATCGATGATCAGAACAAAACTATGAACATTTGTGACTTGGTTGAAAAGTACCTTTAGCGCTGAAGTGTTTGAGTGACACTACAATTTTATGATAAGCTAGGTGAGTAAACCCATCAAAGACACCAAGCTAAAAACTTAAAAATCTCTGCAATTATCCTAAAAAAAAATTTAATGTCATTAATTCATACCTGTGATTTTGGTGGCTGAGAAGAAAGAACACCACAGATTGCCAAACTCAGCAATGTAACAAATTGGAAGCCAATGGAAGACATTTTTCTCCTGTTGACATTGTAATAATTTTTAATACAGTATTGTTTTATGGAAACGTTATACTAAAATAAATTTCATTATAAAAATTAACCTAAGTACAATTTAACTTCTAGTTTTAGAGTGCATAATAATTAAATACTGTGCATATATACACAGGCAACTGGCAGCCTGCATATACAGTATATGCATATTATTAAGCTTATATCCCAGCACCCAATCCGAAGTCGAACTACTGACCCCTAGGACGTAACGCCACAAGAGTTTACAAACTCCCAGCCACCTGTTTACTGCTAGGTGAACAGCGGAATTGGGTGCAAGGAAATGTGCCCAATGATTTGACCAGCATGGGATTCAAACCTGGTATTCCTATTTGTATGTCGAGAACTAACCCAATCGAGACCCCTCGAGTACTCTACATAATTAATATAGAACACCAAAGAAGTTTGAAAAAATCTGGAACAGAAAAATAATATTAAATAATAAATATTAAATCAATATTAAATAATATTTATTATAATAATTTATTTACAAGGTACAATGGGTTTGTGAGATTACAAAATATTGGTATTTCAACATATTTGCAAAGCCACTAGCATGCATAGCATTTTGGGCAGTTATATACTGTACATGTATACAAGACATACGCACAAGAAAATTAACCAGCAGATTTTAAAACCCAAGCCAAACCAAACTGAAAACACAAACCCAACCCAATCCTGACCTAAAAGAACCTAACAGCTTGACCTAAGCTATTAACTCCTAACCCAACTATATATAAAATTTTATTTTATTATTATTTTATTTATGCATATACAAGAATGTACATAAGGAATGTGAGGATACAATTATGGTAATTACAGTCTTGTAAAGCCACTAGCACGCGCAGCTGTTTTGTCAGTTTTGTTAAAAGTTTTGTCAGTTTGAAAATAATTTGAAAATGAGCTTTGACAAAATGCCTGTGTACAACTTGACAAACCTGAGCAAGGTAGGGTTAGGTTATACTGAATTGTTAAAAAAGTCGAGAAATAATTCATTCTACATCATCACAATTCTTTAAACCTATCCTAGCCTAACTAAAAGGATAAATTTGTTATGTACACCGTGAGTGACTTGACGACATTGACTTGCATTTATCTTGATAATAAGTTTGGTTGGGTTCAGTTAGTTTTAATACAACTAAATATTTGTTGGCAAACCATCTCTGGGAGAGAAAATATTACAGCTACATCCATACTGTAACAACCTCGTCCCAGCAGTACAGTTGGGTCGACTCACACTCTGGAACTCCGGGTTCGAATCCTGAACGGGACAGTAGTGGTTTTGGAGGATTAGGGAAAGTGGGGGGGCGCACCTAATGCCTCTGTTCACCTTGCAGTAAATAGGTACGCAGGTAGTGGGTTGCATCCTGGGGAGGGTCAGTAATTCGACCTTTATGGGGCGGGAGACTTCGATATATGTCTAACATGTATAAATTGTCACCCCCACTAGTGTGGAAATATGTATATACGCTCTGGCTGCCTGTCCCCGACACATGAAATTATTATTATTATTAACCACGCTGAGGGCAGCGTTTGAGCACTACTAGACTGTTAGAGCACAAGCTGACTGTTTGCTTTCAATCATAAGGCAATGTAGAGCTAAGAAGAGAAGGCCTTACCAGTGTGAGGGAAGACGTGAGGTAAGACGTGAGGGAGTGTTGTGAGGTGTGAGGGAGACTCTTGCCTTGTCTTACGTGTCACTCCCTGGCGCAGACACGTGCACCACGTCTGGCACCGCTGCACCACCTCCCTCGCCGCACGTGTCGTACGCTCAACATCACTTCTGCAAGTAGCCAATTTGCCTGAATTTACCCGAGGGCCACTATCTCTCTAGTGGCCTCGACGAGGACAGATACCCGGCGGGTTATCAAATGTCCCCCCCCCCTCCCCCATTTGTCCCGGTGATTTTATCGAGCTGGATCTTGAAATTCAGCAGTTGTTTTGGCATTTACGACTTCAGCGGGTAGGCAGTTCCATGGGTTTACACCCCTGTACTCAAAATTATACCCCTGTACTGAAAACTATATATTTTAATATTTATTACACAATTACATTTTAAACATGCTTAAGCATTTTAAACAATCTTAGATGCACACGGCATGCGCTGTATTCCTATTATTATTATAAATGAGGAATTACAAATTATAGGTCAAGAGCTAGCTATAGAAGCTTATTTAATATCCCCATCTCACAGGATGGTTAGATTATGCTGAAATGAGGAGAAAAATTAGATGATAGTCTAGTCTGCACTAGCAAACTTTGGGTAGAGCACGAGAATATCTTCCATTTTGCGAGTGTATGAAATAGTTACAAAACTTAAAGTATCTCATGCTACTTGATCTGAAATCATCCATATCGGGACATTCACGCACACGGTGGTGGAGAATGTGTCCCAGCTCGCGTTTCCATATTTTACAACTGCTGTATTCACTGTTGGGAGATTTCCAGCATCCACTTACCATAAGTATTGATATTCCACCTTAATTTTAGCAATTACAATGTCACATTGGTGGGTGTGTTGTGCTGTTTGTACATATAATTCTTAGCTGTAAACATATCATAACTTTATACTAAGACTTTCTGCCCCTTGAGTGTCAGTCCTAATTTTCTGAAATGGTGTGGTTTTGACACCGGAGGTCAGTGCTTGGTGTGAGCTGGTGGGATCGTGGAACATGTAAACGGTCTTGGTTGTAGGGAGTTGTGAATTTGTGATAGTAGTTGAGTTGTACGGATGTGAATTGTTTGTGAAGGAATGGCAAGTTGTATTGTTCATATTATCATGCCACTTCGATAACACCAACCAGTGGCCATAATGTTCTTTTAATTTAATTTTATCATATATTTATATATATTTCGGATTTGTGAACAGTTGAAAAGATGTAGTGAATATAACTTTATATTGTCTTTATCAAACCACTTCTTTGAAAGATCCACAAGCTGTAACTCACTCAAGGAGCAACAGCTTCAAGCTCAACAAGCTAAGTAGAAGTAGGGTTTAAGACCCAAGGTTGGACAAATAACAGAAAAGTATATTTTTCACCCATAGGCCAGCTAAATTACTTTTTTATTAACAAACTTAGGCATACACAGTAATTTCTGCAATACCCAATTCTATATGAAGCTAAATTACTACCGAGAACTCTAACCAAGTTTAATAGACATCAAATTAATCTAAAACAACACGTACCTATATAGGTACGCCATCTATCATCATGCTACTATGCAGAGAGGACCACATATCCACAAGTCATCAGTAAGGTCTTAATAATTTCAGGCTAGACTATAAGTATTAATCGCTGGTAGTTTGTATCACTTGTTGGTAGAGATATATGGCTATATGTTACAAACCGTGTTAGCTAGCAAGGTTATTCAAATACCTAGTTATACTGAATACCTATTCAAATACCTATTTTATACCCAAAATCTTAACCCGGTATCCTAAGTAATCATGTTGGAACTTGATGTCACTAGGGGAACAAAAATTATAAGCTGGATAACAAAAACGTTTCAAACAAGTGATGGGAACCATGATATACTTTTAAGAATTTGTATATTTTGAGTGTAATATTAATAGTTTCACATAAACGCCCACATTCAAAACTGGAGAACTATATCCGCGCGCATATACATTCAATAAGAGCGAATCAACACTATCTCTGTGGTTGCCCTGTTATCAGTGATTTCAGACCAAATGGTATGAAGTACTCTTAAGCTCTGTAATTACTTCGTACACTCAAGAATATTGGAAGATATTCTTGAGCTCTACCCAGATTTTGCTAGTGGAGCCTAGTAGACCAGCCTTACATTACATGTTCTCTCCTGATTCCATGTATGACTAACCATCCTGTGAGATGGAGATATTAGATGAACTTGTACTCACCTAGTTGTGTTTGCGTGGGTTGAGCTCTGGCTCTTTGGTCCCGCCACTCAACTGTCAATCAACTGGTGTACAGATTCCTGAGCCTACTGGGCTCTATCATATCTACATTTGAAACTGTGTATGGAGTCAGCCTCCACCACAACACTACTTAATGCATTCCATTTGTTAACTACCCTGACACTGAAAAAATTCTTTCTAACGTCTATGTGGCTCATCTGGGTATTAAGTTTCCACCTGTGTCCCCTTGTTCGTGTTCCACCCGCGCTAAAGAGTTTGTCTTTGTCCACCCTGTCAATTCCCCTGAGAATTTTGTAGGTGGTTAACATGTCTCCCCTTACTCTTCTGTTTTCCAGGGTTGTGAGGTTCAGCTCCCTTAGCCTTTCCTCGTAACTCATTCCTCCCATGAACAAAAGAACAAATCCACAAGGGCCGTGACGAGGATTCGAACCTGCGTCCGAGAGCATCCCAGACACTGCCTTAATCAGTGTGTGTTCATTCCTCTCAGTTCCGGGACGAGTCTGGTGGCTTACCTCTGAATCTTCTCTAACTTCGTCTTGTGTTTAACTAGGTATGGACTCCAGGCTGGAGCTGCATACTCCAGGATTGGTCTTACATAAGTGGTATACAGGGTCCTGAACGATTCCTTACACAAGTTTCTAAAGGCAGTTCTTATATTGGCCAGTCTAGCATATGCCGCTGATGATATCCTTTTGATGTGGACCTCTGGGGACAGGTTCGGTGTGATATCGACCCACAGATCTTTCTCTCTATGTGACTCTTGTAGGATTTCACCTCCCAGATGGTACCTTGTGTTCAGCCTACTGCTCCCTTCGCCTAATTTCATTACTTTACACTTTCCTGAGTTGAACTTTAGCAGCCATTTTCTAGACCATTCCTCCAGTTTGTCCAGGTCGTCCTGTAGTCTCTGTCTATCTTCATCTGTTTTTTTCTTCTCATAATTTTTGCATCGTCAGCAAACATTGAGAGGAATGAGTCTATACCCTCTGGAAGGTCGTTTACACATACTAGTAATATATATATATATATATATATATATATATATATATATATATATATATATATATATATATATATATATTTATTTATTTATATAATATATATATATATGGGGTGGTAGGAAAAAGCACACAGAAACTGTGTTGGAAGGGACCAAAACATTCCCTCTAATTATTAATCTTACCCTTTTCGTTATATTCAACACATTATACAGTATATATATATGTATATATATATATATATATATATATATATATATATATATATATATATATATATATATATATATATATATATATATGTCGTACCTAATAGCCAGAACGCACTTCTCAGCCTACTATTCAAGGCCCGATTTGCCTAATAAGCCAAGTTTTCATGAATTAATGTTTTTTCGTCTACCTAACCTACCTAACCTAACCTAACCTAGCTTTTTTTGGCAACCTAACCTAACCTTACCTATAAATATAGGTTAGGTTAGGTTAGGTAGGGTTGGTTAGGTTCGGTCATATATCTACGTTAATTTTAACTCCAATAAAAAAAAATTGACCTCATACATAGAGAAAAGGGTTGCTTTATCATTTCATAAGAAAAAATTATAGTAAATATATTAATTCAGGAAAACTTGGCTTATTAGGCAAATCGGGCCTTGAATAGTAGGCTGAGAAGTGAGTTCTGGCTACTAGGTACGACATATATATATATATATATATATATATATATATATGTCGTACCTAGTAGCCAGAACTCACTTCTCAGCCTACTATTCAAGGCCCGATTTGCCTAATAAGCCAAGTTTTCCTGAATTAATATATTTACTATAATTTTTTTCTTATGAAATGATAAAGCAACCCTTTTCTCTATGTATGAGGTCAATTTTTTTTTATTGGAGTTAAAATTAACGTAGATATATGACCGAACCTAACCAACCCTACCTAACCTAACCTAACCTATATTTATAGGTAAGGTTAGGTTAGGTAGCCAAAAAAGCTAGGTTAGGTTAGGTTAGGTAGGTTAGGTAGACGAAAAACATTAATTCATGAAAACTTGGCTTATTAGGCAAATCGGGCCTTGAATAGTAGGCTGAGAAGTGCGTTCTGGCTATTAGGTACGACATATATATATATATATATGTCGTACCTATTAGCCAGAATGCACTTCTCAGCCTACTATGCAAGGCCTGATTTGCCTAATAAGCCAAGTTTTCATGAATTATTATATTTTCTCAATTTTTTTTCTTATGAAATGATAAAGCTTCTTATTTCATTATGTATGAGGTCAATTTTTTTTTATTGGAGTTAAAATTAACGTAGATATATGACCGAACCTAACCAACCCTACCTAACCTAACCTAACCTATCTTTATAGGTTAGGTTAGGTTAGGTAGCCGAAAAATATATATATATATATATATATATATATATATATATATATATATATATATATATATATATATATATATTTATATTTATATAATATATATATGGGGGTGGTAGGAGAAAAGCACACAGAAACAGTATTGGAGAGGACCAAAGCATTACCTCTAATGCGTTATGTGTGGTTTCCTCCAAGGCTAAGGGTCCCTCTTCTTCCAGCCAGGGGTCGTTCTCCCTTCCTTTTTTATATATGTATATATACATATTTTACATATATGCATATAACACTGCATTTGTTGCCAGTTATTGGTGGTTTAAAGTGTTATATTTTCCCTGCGGCGCTGTGAGACGTATGATACATGATGTAAAATATAAATACGTCATTATGTTCAGGCGTTTATATAATTTTGATACTTGAATATATATATATTAATATACATATATATAAATATTTACCTTTTTTATAACCAATAAATAGCTTTACTGTAACAGGGTAAAATACTGTG